GTAGAGATGAGGTCTCGCTGCCCAGGCGGGTCTCGAACCTGCAGACTCAGGCAATCCACTCACCCTACCCTCCCAAAGGCGTGGGATTACAGGCTGAGCCACCGATCCCGGCTAAAAATAAAATAAAATAAAAATTTTTTAAAAAATTAATTCTCCAGCCTGGACAACATAGTGAGACCTCATCTCTAAAAAAACACCAAAAAATTAGCCAGGCATGATGGCATGCATCTGCTGGAGTCTCACTCTTGTCCCAGCTACTAGGGAGTCTGAGGCAGAAGGATCACCTTGAGCTTAGGAGGTCAAGGCTGCAGTGAGCCATGATCATGTCACTGAACTCCAACTTGGGTGACAAAGTGAGACCCGACTCAAAACACTAAATTCTCTGTGCCTCAGTTTCCTTCTCTGTAGAAGGGATGATTGTCCTGACTTCATAGAGCTGTTGTGGGATGCAACGAGATTATACAAAGAGAAATGTAGTAAGGCTAGGAAGATAAAATGTGCACATATAAATCACTTCCATTTTTATATGTAAATAGCTGCAAATAAAAAGCACAATGAGGGATATGTGTGTATACATGGGTAAGTATGCACACAGCTCTGTCACTGAGGGGGCCTAGAACAAGTGACCCCCCCCCGTAGCAACAAATACATTCAGCAACACCTAGATCTTGGTTTCCCTGTGTGTGTATGCCACCATACCCAGTTATTTATTTATTTATTTTTGTAGCGATGGGGTCTTGCTATGTTGTTCAGTTGGTCTTGAACTCCTGGCCTCAAGCAATCCTCTCACCTCAGCCTCCCAAAATGCTGGGGTTATAGACATGAACCACCATGCCTGGCTTCTAGATCTTGGTTTCTCTCTTTTTTTTTTTGAGTCGAAGTCTCACTCTGTTGCCCAGGCTGGAGTGCAATGGCACACTCATGGCCACTGCAGCCTCGACCTACTGGGCTCAGGTGATCCGCCCACTTCAGCCTTCTAAGTAGCTGGAACCACAGGCATGCGCTACCACGCCCGGCTAATTTTTCGATTTATTGTAGAGATGAGGTCTCACCAAGTTGCCCAGGCTGGTCTTGAACTCCTGAGCTCAGGCAATTCTCTTGCCTCCACCTCCCAAAATACTGGGATTATGGGTGTGAGCCACCACTCCCAGCAATCTTGGTTTCTAATGCCATTCGCCAGTAAAAGAAACCAGGCTTCTCAGAGAAATGGCTGATTTTAGGGTTGGGGCAGGACAAGTACACAATGAGCCTAGAGCATTTTGCAGTGCCAGGAGTGAGGAATTGCTCAAAGACG